TATTTTAGTCTTTTTTCTTGCTGCTGCTGATTTTTATTGCTGTCAAGTAGAAGTTGTGATAGTAAGCATTTTTATTTCTCTCACTTTGCAGGGAATTTCTTTTGTAGTGTAAGAATGATAGTATTGGATGATTATTACATTTTCTTATTTGAAAGACCTCTTTTATTTGGTTGAAGTTCTCTTTTTCTCCTTTGCTATGAAGAATAGATATCAGATACTGATTTTTGTTCTCTTTTCTGCCTTTAAAAAATGTTTATTTTAAAAAATATTTTTATTTAATTTTGTGTGTATAAGTGTATTGCCTGCATGTTTGTAAGTGCACCTGTGTTTTTCAGTGCCTGTGGAGGTCAGAAGAGGGTATCTGATCCCTTAGAACTGTGTAATGGACAGTTGTTAGCTGCTTTGTGGGGGTGGGAACCGAGCCTGGGTCCTCTGCAGGAGCAACCAGTGCTCTTAAATGCTGAGCATCTCTCCAGCCCCAAGATTTATTTATTTTTATTTTATGTGTATGAGTGTTTGCCTGCATGTATGTAATGCAGTGGGTGTATACTTGGTGCCTGTACTGAATTCCTTGGAACTGGAATTACCGACTTTTGTGAGCTGCCGCGTAGGCGCTGGGAACTGAACTTCAGTTCTTCTTCAAGAGAAGCCAGTGCCCTTAACTACTGAGCCACTTGGATGGTCTTGAATAGGAAGAATGTGCTGAATAAGAACAGGAATGAATGATCCAGAGGATGAAATACAGTATTTTAGAAGTTCATTGAGGAAACTTCTTTTTGAGACAGGGTCTCCTTTGTAGCCCCAGCTGTCCTGGAACTCGCTATGTAGACCAGGTTGGCCTCGAACTCACAAAGATCTGCCTGCCTCTGCCTCCTAAGTGCTGCGCCACCACGCCTGGCCGGAACACTAAATTTTACTGTACATTTGCATGCAGAATCATTGGATCTAGAGTGAGTAATAATAAAAAGCACAGTTTTGAACTGATACAGAGAGGGTAGTGTCATCTCTTATCAGTCGAGGAGGGTGCTGATCATGAAGGTTTTATTATTTTTTTTAATTGTACAGGGTGAGTTGGGACAAATCTGGACCAAAATCTTTGTCTCCTAAACTTTTGAGTTCAGTATATCCCCCACCCCCAACACAACGATTCAGTTTGGACCTCAGATAACAGGAAATCTGATTAAATTCCCAGGGCTCTGGATTTCTTCTTGACACCACACTGCCTGTTTTTTCTTTAAACTGTGGTTGATGTTGGTTTTCCTGAAAAGGTGAATAAACTCATTAAACTCTTAAACAAATACTACTTTTTGATGAACAAATGCAAGAACATTTATAGGTTAGATTTTTCAAAATGTCTTTGAATAAGGCTCTTGAAAATATCCCAACAATACAGGTTCTGATGAAAAAGTTTGGTTGCCAAAACAATACCTAGAGTGAATGGAACTTTCTTCTACAATTTAGGGAGTTCAAGTTTTTATCTTTAAAATTAATTATAAAAAATTATATAAATTGTCAGTTGTTCCCACGTTGCCATCAGATGTACTTCACTTATGGAGGAACGATTGATTCTAGTATGTAGCTAATAAATGTAAGCAGGAAGTTAGTACATGACAATATTATTAACACCTAGATGTTTCATTACCGTGTTATGAATTTTAACATGAATTTGAGGATGAATTTGGCAAATTGCTTACCTTAAAGAGAGAATTGCCATTTACAGCTCTTTTGACTGCCTCCTCCTGTTTGTTCATAGACAGTGTGTATCATTATTACTTCAGATGAGGTCTAGGAACATGGGTTTTCATTTAAGTATTTTTGAGCTCCTATTATATGCCTGTTGTGCTAAGCTTTCAAGGATAGATTTGAGCAAAAGTCAGAATCTCTGAACTTGAAGCTTTTATTAGGAAAGTTATTTACTCACAAAATCACACATGACAGTTCGATGAAAGAAAGGATTATGGTACATAAGACTATGTGTTTGGGAAATTCGCCTAGTCCTCGAGGTAGCTAAAGAATTAAGATTGATCAGTAACTTGAAGGTAAAGAAAGAGTTCAGGAGTCTTTTAAGCAGAGGAAACATCAGGCACAAGAAACTTCTGGTGGGAAAGAATGTGGTGTGTGAAGAACTGAAAGGGTGTGACTGTAGCACAGAGGAAGTCCAGGATGATGCTGGGGACACAGGTAGAGAGCACACTGTGTGCGACTTTTAGTACTTTATAATAGAATTCCTTGAATGAAGTGTTGCAAGACAGAGTGACATAGTTTATATAATTCCAGAAAGCTCACCTGTTCTATAATATGACCAGAGGCTTTTGGGGGGGGGCAAAGTAGACATATGAAGGCTTCTGGAAGCCAGACTAGTCCATGTGAGGCATGGCATAGCCTGGATCATGGATAGCAGCGTTGGAGATTAGAGCAACGTGGATAGTTTTGAGGAATGTTCAGGGTGCAAATGAGAGTAGTTCCTACTGAATTTCATTTAGATGGTAAGAGAGAATGAAGACGAGGTGGTTTGGTGTAAGAACCCTAGTAAATAATAAAGTTGATATTTACTTGAACGAAGAAGACTGATAGAATGAGTTTTTGAAACTGGAACCCACTCTGCTAGTTAGATTTTTTTTTCAGTGCAGATTTCAGATAAGCAGTTGCAAACACTGTTTGGGAGCTTGGATTAAAAATCAACATTTTGTTTTTGCTAAGTGAATAAATTTTATCTTTACATATTACCTTTGAGTCCTTATTCACATTATGCATTTTTAAAAGATAATCACATTTTTCTGAAAGTCATTTTAGATTTTCGTAGCTCTTTTTTTAAAGCTGTTGGTCTATGAAAGGGAGACTGTGATTCAGGAGTTTTATTCCCTCCCTTTTGCCCTGTTGCCTCAGGCCTCGAAGGAGGGCTTTTACCCAGAGACTTGCCAGTGCTCTGAGGGGGGCATTATGGCTAGCACAGAAACTGAGGTCACAGAGAGGCAAAACTGAACTAGGACAGGCTCTAGGTGTGGGGTGCCCTAGGAGTTTGAAGGTTGAAAGCCTGTTTCTGGAGATTTCTTTGTGGAACCATTTTCAAGCCGCCTAGAAACAAACATAGAAGATGAAGCACATAGCTTCTTCAGGACCCAGGGCTCATGCTCAGTATGGGCTTATGGGGTAAGAGCTGCTTTCAGAGGGATTCCCAGGCTTCTGGTTTGGGTGTTGCATAGAAGATCTGAGGAGTGACAAGTTTTAAGGGTGGCCTTAGAATTTAAAGGTCGTTGTACATGAGTACTGTTGTAGACACATGGACCAAGACAGTGCTGGCGGTGGAGGCTAGAGGGTAGAGAAAAGGCAGCACTTGCTGCTAATTCTGCCTCTGAAGAAGTAGGCCCTGACTTATGTTGCTGTCTTCTAAATTCTTGCGAATTTTCCAAAAGTCCTCATATCACCCAGGTTAGGGAAGCTGAGAAGACAAAAGAGGTCACTGAGTATAGGTCCTGGTCCCACAGGCTAGTGATGATAGCCTGGGTCATTTAGTAGTTCTATATACGTGCCTTTGGGGCGGAGGGCACTGGTAATGAGGAAGAGACTAAAGGAAATAATTAAGGACTTGGCTGAACTTTAAAACCCAGGGCCATCTCACCCATTCCTCCACAGTCTTAAGGGTTTGGCAGAGACTTTCCTTCATAGGAGAAAAGGAGATTTGGGGAGGTGACATATTTAATGTTGTCCGGCAAATAGGAGGTACCACAGGCTTCACTGATGGTATAGAGAAACTTCCTGTGTGAGTGTATTCCCTGAATGCTGAAGGGGAAGGCAGGCAAAGGAGGCTCTAAGTCAATTTTGGAAATGTGTGTTAGACATTTTTCTCACAAATAGACCCTTTAAAATGGTTGTGTCACTGAGGCGCTCTGAGAAGATACATGGGCTGTGTTGTGACTGGTCATCCTTGCTGCTCGCTTCAGGGCTGGCTGGTGTATAGTACCTGCTTGTAGAGGTTCTCTATGGGTGGTGATGTTTTGCAGTTATGCCCATAAACCTTGCAAACATGGTGGGCTTCTGCATGTCATTCAGCAGTAAGGAGAGTCAACAGAGCACATGGAGCTGTTACCAGACTTAGGGGTTACATCTTGTGCCCCAACAAGCCAGGCCTGTCTTCAATGAGCCAATTAAAAGGAGCCAAATTAATAGTGAAAAGAAGAAAAAGATTCATTCAATGTCGCCACATTGGGAAGATGGACTTGGTGTATGGGGATCTTGGTGGATCTCTTTTGTCCCTTTTCCCAATAGGATTGGAGATTTTTAGATTAGGGATACTCAACCAGTATCTATTGCAGTATTTCAAAATCTGACAAACTGAAATCTGAAACTCTTCTGGTGTCAAATATTTAGCATTAGAAACACTATACTTAACCAGTACAGACTCAGGAGTTTCAAACAGACTACTAAATTGGAACCTTCATTTTTAGGCAAAGGCTCGAGAGAGTTTTAAGTAGTCCAAATCAGTTAGGAATCCTTGCATTGTTAAATCTTTGCCATTTTCAAAATGTAAGTTTCAGCAGCTTACGCAGTATTAAACAAATGAAGTTTCATATATCTTTCCCCATATCATTTTTCTTCGACCCTGAGTTTGTTTTTTTGTCTCCCTCTGCTACTTAACCCCACTTGTAGCTTTTCACTCCCTCATTCTCTCCCTCACCCTTACCCTCTCTGCATGTATTTCTCTTGTTACTGACTTCAGTTTTCTCTGTTCTCTGCCCCAAAATGAGGAAAAAGTCCTCAGCCTTCTTCCTCTCGTGTAACATGTTTTACTTTTCAGCATCTAGAACAGGTTTTCTTTTTCAGACAAAGTTATATTTATCTTACTCTTCGGGCAGATCTGCATTTCTCTTATTAGTAATTCTTGCTCTTTAATGGCAGAATTAGAAAGCAACTATTAGAGTTTAGTGAAAGAACCTTTTATAAGGTTTTGTGTATTACTCTTTTTTAACTAGTCTTTTTCTTTCTTTAAAAAAATCTTATAGGGAAGAAGAAGAACGTCTGAGAAATAAAATTCGAGCTGATCATGAGAAGGCCCTGGAAGAAGCAAAAGAAAAATTAAGAAAGTCAAGAGAAGAAATCCGTGCAGAAATTCAGACAGAGAAAAATAAAGTAGTCCAAGAAATGAAGCCCAAAGAGAGCAAGCCACTGCCACCAGTTCCTATCCCAAAGCTCGTAGGCATCAGTGGTGGAGACCCAGAAGATGCAGAGATAAGAAAGAAAAGGGAAAAAATTAAAGAGGTAATAAGCTGAGGCTTGTGATACTAAGCGGTTACAGATCCGTGTCTGACTGGAACTGTCTATATATATGGATGTGTATCATCTCTGGTGTTTCTTCTTGTTTCTTCTTGGGCCATAGTTAATTTACTTCCCAGGTTAGTAGTAAGCACTAGCGCGCCCTCTTTTTCCTCAATACTGATTAGAATGCAGTTATTTGGCAATTAAAAATTTGATGTAAGATTGTTTAGATGGTTACTTGACCTACACTGGGAAATCTTTTGAAATGTAGGGTTTTATAATAGAATAGAATCCATGCATAAGTTATTAAATAAACAATTTTAAATGCTCAGTTCCAAGAGGCTGTGCTACGTACTGTGCAAATACTTTTCAGAAGCAAACATCTAAACAGCATTTTATGAGCCATGTTGTAAGGAACATGGCATGAGACATAGCTATGTTGTAGATTAGGAGCATGTTCATTTCAGAAATTTTTCCACGAATTGAGAAATATAGAAAGATTGATTCCAAAATTCTTCAAATTTATTTAGCCCCAGCAGAAATCTTTCAACTTGTTATTCTGGAAATTACAGATGAAAGAGTACCAAATCTAGTGAATTTGAGTCAAACTTTGTTAATAAGAACTGGAAATTTTGAGTAGAATTTGCTATTATACTGCTTGTAAAGAAAAAGATTATAAGGGTGTGATAGCATCAACAATATTTTGGAAGCTGTAGTATAAAACAAGAATAAATTTAATTCACATAGTCAAATATCTCTATATATTTTAGTAATGAATATGGAAAGTTTAACGTATGTTAGCTTGATCTGTCTGTTACTTTTCTCTTTGTAATGACAAGATTCCTGCCAATGCAGTTTAAGGAAGGAAAACTTTATTTTGTTTGCTTAGTTTTTTAAAAATTAATATATAGATTTTTGATCCTTTATTTATTTATTTTTATTTTATGTATATGAGTATATTGCCTGCATGTATGTAAGTGCACCCATGTCATGCAGTGCCTGTGGAGGCCAGAAGAGAGCATTGGATCGCCTCACACTGGCGTTACAGACAGTTGTTAGCTGCTATGTAGGTGCTGGAAATCGAATCCTGGTCCTCTGGAAAAACAGCAAGTGTTCTTAACCACTGAGCAATCTTTCCAGCCCCATTGTTTGGCTTAGTTTGGGATGATACAGTCTGTCATGAGGGGAGTGGAGATGGCCTGTCACACTGCATCTAGGTGGGAAGGGAGAGGTGATTGACTGCTGGTACTCAGTTGGCTTTCTCCTTTTCTTTCTTTTTTTCTTCAGTCTGGAACTGAGTTCAAAGGATCGGTTGCACCCACATTCAGGGTGGGTCTTTCCTTCTCAGAGAAGCCTCCCTGGAATCACCCTCACAGGCATGCCTTGCCCAGACCTGTGTTTACTAATGACTCTTAATCCTGTCAAGTTGATGTTCCGTCTTGGTGGCCACCATGCTTAGCCTTATGAATTATTGTAAAGCCTTGACTTTGATGAATCAAAAATCTAAGTCTAATTTGCACCCCACTTCTGGAGCCCATGTTTTATATACAGACCAGTTAATCTACTTTCTGGACAGTGTTGGAGATGTTGACAGATTTTTTTATTTTCCAGATGTCCAACTTGCCCTTTTTCAGATGCCATCATAATATTTTGAAATACTTTCTCATATTTGTAATAATTCAGATTGATAAACATGTGCTTTTAGGGGATTCAAAGACAACCCTCAGGCTCAGGCTCAGGCTCAGAGGTTACATTAGCAATACATTTGTTTTTAGTCTGCTGAATTGTATCCTGTTACTTACTAAGGTCACTTTCACTTACTATCTCTAGTGGGGTTTTTTTTTTTTTTTTAAGTGTGATATGTTAGTATTCAGCTTTTTGAAGATGCCTTTTATTAAGTTGAGGATATGTCCTTATAATTATAGTTTTAAGGGTTTGTATCATATATATGTGTTGAATTTTAGAAAATGCTTTGTATTTTTATGTAGGTGATTATATGAGATTTTCTCTTTTCTGTTAATATGGTGAATTATATTTACTGATTTTTAAATGTAAAATTTATATTATTCATATGTTTAAAATTGCATGTGGCCATGGTGTAATATTTTCTTTATGTAGCACAAATTAGTTTTAGAAGGAGTTGTGTCTCTGTTTCTTGGAATATATTGGTCTGGAGTTTTCTTGCAATGTTTTTGCCTAGTTTGTGTGTCTGATTAGTACTAGCTACATAAAACAAGTTTGGAAATGTTTTAATTAATACTGTGTTGCTAAATGATACACTGCATTTCACTGTCTTGTAATTCATTTGATCTGTAATTAAATGTTCTGCCATTATGTAGTTTAGATCTCCTTGGGTTGTAAAGAACTCAGCTCAAACTAACTGGTACAAAAACATTTATTAATTTAATGGCTTTGAACCAGGGCTTCAGACATGGCTGAATCTTAATCGTGTAACATAACATTGTCTCTCTTTCCTTTTACTATTTAGTTTTTCTGTGGTAAGAGAGGGTTAGCCATTATCAACTTCAGGATTCAGTTATATTCATAGGCTTTGGGATTACAAAATGAGTTAGCACCCTTCTTCCCAGTGCCAGTAATAATATTTATAAAAAGGACTTGAGCCGGGCGTGGTGCCATGTGCCTTTAATCCCAGCACTTGGGAAGCAGAGGCAGGCGGATCTCTGTGAGTTCAAGGCCACCCTGGTCTACATAGGGAGTTCCAGGCCAGGTGGGGCTACAGGGAGACTGTCTCAAAAAGACCAAAAAATAAATAAATAAATAAAATAAATAAAAAACTAATTAAAAAAATAAAATAAAAGACTTGATTGTTGTGCTTGAATCCTTGTACCTGTCTAATCACTTTGACTAGGTGTTGAATTTTGGATTCTGCAAAACATAACTTTTGGGCTAAATTTGTCCATTTTTCCCACTGATTTGAGAAAAATCAGATTTAATTGGAACATAAGTATATTTGCCATTTATTACAGGTTATCTAGGACTGTTTTTTTTCCACAATAGTTTCACTGTACTGATCTCTGGTCTAAAAGGATTTTGTAGTCATGCTGAATTAGTTGGGGAGGCCCCTTTATTGATAGCTTAGTGTTTTCACAGTGAAGGAAGGGGAACTGTTCCCCAACGGATTGTCAGCTTACTAAAGGAGAAAACACCAAATACGTCACTTTCTTCCCCAAATAACTTTCTGATTACATCTAATTTTGTTGTTGTGTAGATTGAAATGAAATACCAGTATGTGTGTTTTCACACTGATAAAATGTTAATTAAATATGCTAATGCAGAAGCCGTGAAAGTATGGGCAAAGATATAATAATTAAAGTTTAAATTACACAACATTTGAGAATAATATTTTGTGGATAGCATAAAATAATGAATTATAATTGTCCTCTTCTCAGATGATGAAACATGCCTGGGATAATTACAGGACCTATGGGTGGGGACACAACGAACTCAGACCTATCGCAAGGAAAGGACACTCCACTAACATATTTGGTAAGGTAACTTTTGAATTGCTATTTTTGTTTTCTTTTTCCATCTTTCAAAAAAAAGATCTGACTTCTAAAGGATTTTTTGAGATCTGAATTTCTGTGGACCTATAATTAGAACGTGTATTTTTTTTTGTTTTGTTTTGTCCTTGACTGGCCTGGGACTTGCTTTGTATACCAGACTGGGCTCAACCTCACAGAGTGTACTAGTATTAAAGGCATGTGCCACCATGCCTGGCCCACATTTACCTTTTAGATTTTCTACTTACATAGTTTAGCCATTTATCTGAGTTTCAGAGCTTTTTTTTCTGTTTTTTTTTTAATGTCAAGAAAGGTAGATATCTATTTGTAACTTTTTTCTTCAAATCAGTACCATCTGTGATACTCATAAAGGAAGAGGGAAAGATTTGGAAATTCCATTTGTGCTATGTATATTAAAAAGTAGCATGTAGAAGGTGATTTGATTGACAGTTGAATGGGTTATGTTGTATATTCATGTTCCTAAATGTGTGTGTGGATAGAGGTTTGACCAAGAGCTATATTTGTCTTGATGTCCTTTTTTGTTCTTTTGAGCGTAGGTAGTTCTTGTTAAACTTTGCAGTTCATCTTACCCAACTAATTTTCATCAACAAGTTTTACTAAACCTAGAGTTAGTCTTGGAAATTGTCCAACTGTTCTTTGTGGTTGCCATTCTTTTCTCTTACTTCAAGTACTTCTTGATGTGTTGGATGTTTTGTGTGGATAGGTGAGTGCAGGAACATTTTCATGAGGTGAGAAGACATATATGCTAGTCATAGTGTGATTTTCTTTACTAATTACAACATACCACAATAACAATTCAAACAAGATTTTTCCTTGTGATGAATTTTCTAATGCTGTGATTTCTCTTAAAATGCATTTGTCGTTGCTTGTTTTTTGCCAAAAAAGAAAACATAATTTGTTCTGGGTTTGAGAGATGTGGAAGAAAAACAATTTCCATTAAGTAGCTACACAATGACTACTAGGTTGTTTATAATACGTTTAATATAGTAGTTGTCATTTAATGAAATAGAGTATATTTCCTCTGAAAAGGTGTTACAGATGGAATGCTCTCACTACTTTGTAGATGTCATAAAATGAGATAGTACACTAAAAGACATTTAATTATCAATTACATTAGGTCCCCTTCAAGTACATTTATATTGAGCGCAGTGATACACTGTGAGCCTTAGTACTAAGGATTTCGTAAACATATACTGAAAATAAGAAGTGGATGTGGGACTGGAGAGATGGCTCAGTGGTTAAGAGCACTGGCTACTCTTGCAGAAGACCTGGGTTTGATTCCCAGCATGCACATGGCAGCTAACAACTTCGTAACTCCAGTTTCAGGGGATTCAGCACCCTCTTCTGACCTCCACAGGCATTGCACGACACAGGTGCTTCAACAAACATGCAGGCAGAACCCTCATATACATAAAAAAAAAAAAAAGTAGCTGTGAGTTTTCTACCTTAACAAATTTTAATATGTTTGTGGCGAGTGCATGTGTGTTTGTGTGTATGCATGTGTATGTGTATGTGTGTCTGTGTCTGTGTGTGTGTGTCTGTGTGTGTGTTGAGATATACATGTGAGTATGGGCATGAATGTACCATAGTGCATGTGTAGAGATCAGAGGACAGCTCCTGGGAGTCAGTTCTCTTCATTTCACCATAGGATTTCGGAGATCAAACTGATTGCCAGGCCCTTGTTGAGTGCCTTTTCCTGCTGATTGGCCAGCTCTGATTGTCTGGGTTTTGCCAGATTTATTTTGCAGCCCAATCAATGTTTTATCTTGTTCCAAATAGATTACGCTCCTAATCTTGCTTTTAAAAATAGGAAAAATATTTGAACTTATGGAAAACACATTTTATGAGAAGAATGAAATGCTAGAAGAAGCTCAAGTGCAATATTGAATTTTCAGTTGTCAAAATTGTGTTCTTTAGTTGTTTTTTTTTTTTCAATTTCCCAGTCAAATAATTTGCCAAGGAGGAACAGATCCTTTATTATGTGCTTTGTCATGTAATGTGTGGAAGGCATAAATTTTTGAAGTTTAAAAATTGTTTCTTGTTTTTTACTCTTTTTTATACCTCATTCTTGCTATTGAATATTATTTGAGAACTTTTTTATATTTTATTTTTATTTTATGTCTGTGAGTATATTGCTTGTTTGTAAGTGTGTGCACCTGTGACACGCAATGCCGTGGTGGTCAGAAGAGGGCATTGGAGCCCCTGGAATTGGAGTTAGGGATGTTTGTCAGCTGCCATGTAGGTGCTAGGAATCTAATCTGGGTCCTCTGCAAGAGCATCCAGTGCTGTTAACCAGTGAGCCGTCTCTCCAGCATCAGATTTGAGAATGTTTTTACATCTTACTTTACTTTTTTCAAAAATAAAGGATCAAAGAAAAGAGTGGTGGTTCTCAGCATCTCATTTTGTACCTCAAATTCATTATGACTTTATAGACTCAAAATTTTAGAGTTAGAAAAGATGTTTTTTTTTT